TTTTTTTTTTCAGTGCTGGGGAGTAAATCCAGGACCTTGCACATGCTAGGCAAGCACTCTAGCACTAAGCTATATCCCCAGTACCTTAAGCAGATTTAAGAGGAATATAATGAACTATATTGCTTATTACAAAGAACTTGGGAGCTTTTTTTTTGCCTGGAACTGGGGATTGAACCCAGAGCCTTGAACATGATAGGCAAACACTTAGCCACTGAGCTACATCCCCAGCTACACAGAACTTGGATGTTTCAAAATGTGGACATCAACAATATCCACATAAAAACCTAGTTTTGGCATTTACCATTTTTATCTTCAGCTAGTTATAAGAAACAAACAGCGGAAATGGGTATGCTCCAAGTAAGTATTAGATGAACCCCAAGAAACCAAAGACGGCACAAAAAAGCAAGGAGACAAAAAGTTCCTTTTAATAAATAGTGTTCAGGCAGACGAAGTGCTCAGAAGGTGTTTTGAGGTCTGGAATTCAACCCCAGAACCCACCCTCACCAAAAAAAAATTAAGTGTTTAAATGTTTGGTCAGGATCACAAAAGAGGAGAAGAAAATTAAGACCTTTTAAGTCATGGGAAAAATACTGCGATTTTTATCTTGTCCATTTTTTCCTTTGCCCTCTTCTTTTATGAGCCTTCACCTTTTAGGATAAGACTTTTACTAAACCTTAAGATGAAACTTTTAAGAGTTGAGCAATTCACAAATACAGCTGCATCAAATCTTATACTCAGCATTCATGGAATGCTGCAGACAGAAAAAGTTTAGACCTTTTTGTTTTTTTTCCTTGTGGTACTAAGGATTGAACCCAGGGCCTCATACATGCTAGGTAATAATACTTTTTAAATGAGGAAACTTAAGGCTCAGATGCAAAATTTATGGTCAAATTAACTAGAATGGAGGTCCACAGGCACCCAAAGAGAAACCGTTCATTTACATTATTCTAGAACTTTATTTAAAGTACATTATCAGGAGGTGGGGGCAGGGGGCAGGGGGGAGAAATGACCCAAGCCTTGTATGCACATATGAATAATAAAACAATTAAAAAAAAATAAAGTACATTATCCACCTAGGACCCCAAAACTTAAGCAGCACATGGCAATCTTAAAGAGTTCTTAAAAGCAAGCATTACTTCAAAGAATGAAAGTGATGGATTTATAAGGAAATCTATAAAAACTCTGAAGACTACTAAAGAAAGGAGTAAATGTCAGTTATATAAAAACCTCATTAGTTAACCAAGTCAATGAACATCAAAAATTATAAAATGTAATTTTATGACTGGTAAGTTTATTAAAAATTGAAAAATTGGGCTGGCAGAATGGCTTCAGTGGTACAGTGCCTGCCTAGCAAGCATTGAGACCTTGAGTTCAAATCCCAGTACCACCAAAAAAAAAAAATTAACAAAATTATGCAAAACAAATATATAGATTTCTTTTTTTTTTAGTCAGAGTCTCAAACTAGCCTCTCAAGGGATGGATTGCTGGCCTTGTCACCACGCCCAGAAAGTATGCATACATTTTAAAGGACATTTTGGCATGGTACATTAAACACAAAATGCACCAGCTTACATGCAGCAAAATCAACTCTTAATATTGATATTAAAGAAAACACCAGCACACAAGCAGGTAAAAAGAGTTTACTGCATCAATATTTGCAAAATGAAAAATTTGGAAACAAATGTCCATCATCAGAATGGGCAACAAAATGTAGCACATCAATCTGATGAAATACTACATGACCATTAAATGAAATAAACACTTAACTGCACATGCCAATACAAACAAATCACAAAAGTAATCATGTAAGTGGAACAAAGCAAGGTGCAGACAAGTGATGCATTATGACATCTGATGTAAAATAAAAACTTAAATACAACTCTATACTCACAATAATACATATTTTCTACAGATTGATATATTTTTAAAAGATTACATGCATGTACACATATCAAACTCCTTATCTCTGGAAAGAAGAGAACAGAATTCCAACTAGGATTCCTAACCAAATGATATTTTAGCCTTTATCTACAGTGTCCTATTCTTCATAAAACTAAAAAGCTATCGTCCAGGTTAAAAATGTACACTGTTAAAACTTAAATGTAGGGCTGGTAGAATGGCTCAAGTGGTAGAACGCCTGCCTAGCAAGTGCTGAAGGCCTAAGTTCAACCATAAAACCACAGAAAAATAAACAAATAAAATAAAACTTAATGGTAGTATACCATTAAGTCCCAGCACTTGAAACTGAGACAGGAGGATAATGAGTTCAAGGTCAGCCTGGACTACATACTGACAACTTTTCTCAAAAAAATAAGTAAATAAATAACTTGATTGCAAGATTATCAATAAGACAGCAGTACTATTTTAGTGTTCTAACATTCAAAAGGGAAGTTCTTTGTTCATGCATTATTTCCATACCTGGGATACAAACAAAGTAAGCAGGTGATGGTAGGCAACTGTTACTGCATGACCTCAATTTTAAAGATTTTCTCTCGTCTAAGAAAAATCACCTCAAAAATGGCAAGAATAGACTAGACTTCACAACGACTGTTTTGAAAGTGGTTATTTTGAAATTAATTTTCAAAATCTTAAATGATTTATCACAAGGACTACAAATAAGACAAATTCCTAGTTTTACTAAGGTTCAGTGTCTCTACTAAAGTGATTGCTAAGGTCCACCTAGTTCTACCTGTCAATACCTACTTTAACAGATTCAAGCAAGATGAAATCTGAGTTAATATCTTAAGGTTCACTTAGTTATCAATCTTTCAAAACATATACACATCTTTATTCTTACCTGAAAAGCATAAAAACTGTAGCAGGCATCAAGAAAATTTCATTACAAGCAATGAATTTCAGGATATTTTGTTGATTAGCGCTTAATTTATCCAAGACAGATCTCAATAGAGGTAAACTATTTGATCCCTTTGCCTGAAACAAAAATAAACAAACATTAGAAATAATGCAGCACCTCCGACAACTCAATTAGTCGCCCCTCTAGGACATCTCTCAGATAATAAGAAAGGATGCTTAAGCCCCTTATCCTATCCTATACTGTAAATCCTACCTAGATTGATTAAAATTCCTAATACAATGTAAATTCTGTATAGTACTTACACTGTATTGATTAGGGAATGACAAGAAAAGTTCGATACACACAAAATTTTGTTTTGGAACTATTTTTATCCATAGTTGGTTAAATCCACAAAAGTGGAACTTAGGGATACCAATAGCTGACTATATTTTCTTGTAAGTAAGAAGCATAGGTAATGTAGCCAAAAACTAATTATTTGAAGATGATTATACAAGTTTACAAACTAAGGGCAAATGTTAGTGTGCTTTCCTATTTTGTTTTGTGTAATTGAAGACAATCAAAGACACATTAATGAAAGTACTTTACATTCTTAGCTGCTTTATTTTTCCTGACAATCTTTAAATTATTTCACCAAAAATAGTGGTTACTTCTCTCCAGTCATAACAAAATCTGACTATCCAGTAATGGTTAAAATATCTGTGACTCCTCAGCTAGCTAATTGTTAGAAATTATGGAGTCCTAATTGCTGCTGTGACCAAAGAATTACAAGAATAAAGGCCAACACAACGCAGAAATTTGGTATTTTAATTCAAATCTACCTGTCACACTTAAGGTAGGATTAATGTTCCAACCCAACAATTAAAAAAAAAAAAAACTTCAGGAAAGCAGTTCTAAATGTTAGTATAAAAGATAGTACACTGCATTTATCTGGTATGTTAGAATTATATACTGACAGAATAAGAGAGCTCTGACAACTCAAACTTAAAGATACAAGGTGTTTCAAAAATCAACATCGATTTCAAATTTCAGGAATCCCTCTGGGAACCTGAATGTAATTTTAAGTGTAATCCTTTACGTACAAGATATACTAGTTTGAGACACTTCAGTAATAAACACTTCCAAACTCAAAACTTTCAAGTTACGAAATAATAATTTAACAAGTCTGTAAGGGATGGAGGAACTTTTGTGAGAAAATGTCCTAGAACTCAAATTCATGTCAACTATCTACAATCCAAAAGTCAAAGAAATAGCATAGTTTTACTTACATCAAGAACCTTTTTCGTGTATGTGGCAGCATGAAGCAAAGAAAATAACAAGACAGGGAAAATACTCACTGAAGAAAACAATTAAGGAAAACATTTAAAAGTCATCAAGTACTTTGCAAAACGGGTTATGTTAATATACAGATCTGAAACACCTACAAAGTGAATTCAGTGAAATCACTTTTGTTTCACTGATATTTTGTCACTTATAAAGAAGAAAGTAAACTATTTCACTCTCTAAACTCACTGTTCTTATGAAGAAAATAGTCAAGTTTTTTCTTTTATTTCTACTGATTAATTAAAACTAAACATTTGCTAAATTAAACTAAAACACAAGCTACCTCAAGGGATTGAATACTGCTTTTCAGTGCACAGTGGCTACCCTGCCCTTCAGAGAAAATCTTCTACAGTGCTTTCACAGGATCAACCACTGAGAAGAGTTAAACTAGAAAGCTGTTATAATTATGTTCTCAATCTGTGAAAATAAAAAAGACAGTATATGTTTGGGTTTATATATAATCTGTTGAAGGTTCTCATCAGTTTAATTACAGACATAAACAGAGAATCCTTATATTTGATATGTAAGTCCAACAGCTTGGCTTTATACCATGGATAAATACAGAATTTTTGTTCAACCTTTTAAAAAATGAAAACTGCTCAAAAGACCCTAAGCTCCACCCTATTTTCTCCCAGATTGATAACAAAAAAGTTTGTCAAGTATTTCCACAAAATGACAGACTCAAGTCAATCATGAATGGCAAAAACAATGGCCCTAAAAGTATCAGCACTTTCTAAGAAATTTTCTATACTTTTATTTTTCTATACTAGGTGAAGGCTTGGCAAGGGTGGGAAATGTTGACTACTAAGTATCAAGCTCATTATAACTGTAACTCATTTAGCACCCAAAAGTTCCTAATTTTCAGTAGGGAAGCACCTATGCCCAAGTATTAGAAAAATCTTAAATCTAATGATGCAGTTCTCCAAATCAATGTCCTAACAAATTCTTTCCCGGCATTCACAAGAATTAAGATGCCAATTTCCTAAGTAGAAATCTGTCTGTCTGTCTGTCT